GGAGTGGATTTATTGTGAGTGCTATAATGAAATAGTCTTTCACGCTGCGCCAGTTTGGTCTCTTGGTAGCGGGTTAATAAACTTCATATCTCCTCTCTTATTTTATACCACCCCGGATAGGATCTAATAATGTGACGTTGTTTAGATTTAAATAATAATAGACAATTTACGTTATCAATTCTTCATTTTTAACAAAAAAATCTAGTTTTCGAATAAAATATAGGCTAGATTCCTTCTGGTATTGCTCTCTATCTGTTCGTAAATTCGTCTATCTATCTTTTCTGCCCTTCCGAATATTTACCCGTATAAACAGACAGACAAAATCTTTAAAAATAGTTATTTGCGTCTTAATAAAATCTTTATAAAATAACCCCTTGAGCCTAATAGAATCAACTTAAATTAATATAAAAGACAAATACTTCAATTTTATTTAAATGTATAGATAACATTAAAGTGACAACCTTAGTAGCAGTGAGTTGCTACTCAGCCCATAGACACTCCAACTTACTTGAATCAAGAAACTTTCAGATGCGTTGTCAATGAGTCACACCAACATGTTCTAATTTGACAATAAAATCTTGTTTTGAAAATAACAATAGTTTTTGTTTCATCCAAATTGGTGCAGAAATACGAAAGTTATAACGTTTTGAAATTTTTACTTTACTTTTAATTTTTTTAAATTTTTACCCGCTTGTTCTCTGTGACGTGACATCACAATCCGACAGAGCGAACGCGCAGTAAGTACGTAAATAATGTTTACGTAAATAATTTTTTGTTAATACTTGTTGAAATACTCGTCGAAATAGTTTTTGTTTAGTGTTTAGTATATTTAATTGAAGGATAAAATAGTTAAAAAAGTTTTAATGTAATTTAAGAATAATATATATTATGTATATTACCTATCTATTTGATAAATTATAATGGCAAAACGTCGTTCCTACTATAATTGTTGCGGGGATGGACGCTTAATGAGCAATTAAAAGGATTCAGGTATACCATTTTTTGAGTTACCGAAGGATAATGAAAGGTAAATGTATTATATAAATAATTAAGTAATAATTTACCTAAAGAAGTAATACCTAAGTACTTTAACCCTTTCGCTGTCCCGTGCACTATATATAGGGCACTGCTATTGTCTTACTATTGTGTCTGGAAACCGGACAGTGAAAGTGTTAACACTTTCACTTCCGGTTTCACTTAGTTGAAATTTACTTCACTACCCAAGTACCTACTTACATACCTATACTCGTCTTTGTGATTAAATATTTTAAGTTATAATAGCACAAAATACTGAAATTAAAACTTTGTGTACAAGATTTTCAACTAAGTAGATTACGTTCATATTTCTGTTGGGAATCGTATTTCGGGTTTATTTGTTGTTTACGCTATCTACCTATACGAACCAAGCATCCCGATTCCCAACGAATGGCCTTGCAAGTTGCATGCGTTGAGCATCACAGAACTCACATAGTAGATAATATGGTCGATTATAGTCAGTATAGGTACTTTACCTAAGTAACTTACCATTTCACAATGTATTTTTTTACTCTTTATTAACAGCCCTTAGCAACCACGGAGTCCGTTGTGACGTAGTAAGGAGAAAAGATGCAAAGTAATACTGTCTGTATTACTTTGCATACTCGCGTGCAGTGATAGTTTTATTTAGCTTGCGTGCGCGATTCATCTGATTAATAATAACTATGTAGGCTATTAAAACGTCGGCAAGCAGTCAACATCAAAAGAGTGCAACTTCTGTACGTAATACACTTATTTATTCTGTGCTATAGATAAGACCAGTGCGTGTTGCCAGTGATCACTTACGGATCTGAGACGTGGTCCTTCACTGCTGACCATATGAGGAAGCTCAAGGTCGTTCAGCGAGCTATGGAGAAGGCTATGCTCGGGGTTTCTCTGCGTGATAAACTTAGAAATGAAGATATCCGCAGTAGAACCAAAGTAACCGACATAGCCCAATGGATTAGTAAGCTGAAGTAGCAGTGGGCCGGCCATATAGCTCGAAGAACCGACAACCGATGGGGAAGAAAGGTTCTCGAGTGGCAGCATCGTACTGTTAGGCGAAGTGTAGGGCGACTCCCCACGAGATGAAGTGACGACCTGGTAAGACATGCAGGAAGTCGATGGATGCAGGTGGCTCAGGATCGTGCTTTGTGGCATTCCTTGGGGGAGGCCTATGTTCAGCAGTGAACTTGTGAATGGCTGTAATGATGATGATGATGATGATGATAGATAATATATTTCAATTCTAATATTCTTTTATAATATTCACACGTATACATGGGAAAGAGGTGATGATAGAAGTATGATAGATTTCATAATTGTTGATGAAAGAATGAGGAGCGCGGTGGTAGATACAAGGGTTTACCGGGGCTTTAACGTAGGGACGGATCATTACTTGGTCTTATGCCGAATTAATGGTCTTTTCAGACGTTGGAGGCATCGGACATCTGTGTCTAACACTGCCTTACAGCGTATAAGAACAGAGAGGTTACAAGATGAAGGTGTGAAAGAGAAGTTCAAATGTAGATTGAGAGAAAATGTAAGTGGTATCGGTGAATTGTGTATGAATGATTTAGACTTGGAGACTGTGTGGTATAATGTCAAGAAAGGTTTAGTGGATGCAGCTACCGAAGTATGTGGTGTAAGTAAGAGAACGATTGAAAGGAAAAATAACACGTTATGGTGGGATGATGAGGTACGGATGGAAGTTGAAGCAAAGAAGAAAGCATGGCTAGATTTACTAGCAACCAAGGCTAGTAATTCTAGCAGTATGAATGATGATATTGAAAGGAAAAAGGCAGTTTTTAGACATCTAAATAAGAGAGTAAAAGAAGTAGTTGAAAGGAAAAAGCAAGAAAGAACGGATGAGAATGATAGAAGAATATCGGATAACTTCCAGGCAAACATTAAAATGTTCTGGAAACTCGTAAGAACTACCAGGGGACATTCACAACAGCCTAGAATGAATGCTATACGAGACCAGAATGGCTGTATTCTGAATGACGAAGTTTTGAGTTTAAGGAGATGGAAGGAATACTTTGAAAGCGTGTTTATGAGTGATGAGACCTTTCAATTAAATGAAATAATGAAAGCAATGAAAAGTATGAAAGCAGGTAAGGCAGCCGGTTATGATAGAGTATCTCTCGAAATGCTAAGGGCTGGAGAAGGAGTGGTGGCAGACCTGCTGTACACCTTGTTTAATTTATGTTGGGAACTTAAGCGGGTACCGGGAGACTGGTGCAAAGCCGTGATAGTCCCAATATATAAGGGAAAAGGATCACAGCAGGACTGTAAAAACTACCGTGGTATCAGCCTTCTTAGCATTGTGGGAAAACTGTATGCTAAGGTGCTAATTGAAAGAGTTATGAAAGAAACTGATGGAAAAATTTGGGATGTGCAAGCGGGATTTAGAAAGGGAATGGGATGTACGGATCAGGTCTTTTCCATGCGCGTGATCGCGGAGAAGTTTTTGGCCAAAAACCAAAAAGTTTTTTGTGCGTTCATAGACTTGGAGAAGGCTTATGACAAAGTGGACAGGGATGTGTTATGGCAAACACTGAACTCATTTGGGTTGACCGCTGGTCTGATACAGGCATTGAAGTCTCTATATAGGGACTCTAGTGCTTGTGTCAGGATCAATGGGGCCTACTCGGACTGGTTTGGCATCCATAAAGGTGTCAGACAGGGCTGTGTGGCTTCCCCGTGGTTGTTCAACCTATTTATGGACAGTTGTTTGGAAAATTTGAAAGTAGAAGAATGTGGGTTAAGAATGGGTGAGTTAACCGTCAAATGCCTTTTGTACGCCGATGATCAAGTCATACTTGCATCGTCGGCAGCCGAGTTGCAAATGATGGTTACATTAATGAACAGGACATTAAAAGAAAAGGGAATGAAAGTGAACGCAAGTAAGACAAAAGTTATGGTTTTTGAAAGAGAAGACAGCAAAACGATATGTGAAATAAGAAAAGAAGGGGAGTTGGTAGAGCAAGTAGATGAGTTTGTATATTTGGGATGTGTGTTTAGCAGGGATGGTAGATATGATAAGGATATAGAACGACGAGTGAATGCAGGAAATAGAGTGAATGGGGCTCTACACTCTATTGTGAAAAGTCATAATGTGTCCAAAAAGGCACGTATGGCAATTCACAATGCTGTGTTAGTACCTACTTTAATGTATGGTAGTGAAAGTTGGGTGTGGCAGAAGAAGCATGAGAGTAGAATAAATGCTGTAGAAATGCGGTCATTAAGGAGTATGTTAGGGATGAAGCTGAATGACAGAGTGAGAAATTGTTTAATAAGAGAAGAGTGTGGTTTGCAAGATGATGTTGTGACCAGGATTAAGAAAGGAATGCTTCGGTGGTTTGGCCATGTAGAAAGAATGAATGAGGAAAGAGTGACAAAGCAAATCTATGTTGCAGAGGTGAACGGCATAGTCGGGAAGGGTCGCCCTAGGCGAAAGTTTATTGACCTAATTGGCGATATATTAAAAATGGGCCATATCAAGAGTAGCTTTAACCGACGAGCGTGTATGCGTAGGTATATGGATGTGGAGGAAGCGAGAGAGGTGTGTCAGGATCGTGCCAAATGGAAGTCCATAATCTCTGCCTACCCCTCTGGGTGACAGGCGTGAGTGTTTATGTATATATTATGTATCAATACACATTTTTTCATTCATTCATTAATTACAGCCTATCAAGTCCATTGCTGAACACAAGGGGGTTATATACCATAGTTACCACGATGGCAGGTGTGGTAGTACCCTCAGTTTTTTATAATTTTCAGTACATATTATTTACATAAAAATGCAAGTTTCGTATAAATTTTATTCACTATCCAGTAAAAAAGTGACACTTAAAATAGCAAATAAGAACATCAGTGATGAAGACACAAAAAATTGTGTAATGCGAAATGTTCTGCCAATAAAGAAACGTTTGTTTCATTTATAATTAAAGCAAGTAAAATAACATTAATATTTGGCTCACCTCGTAATAAATAGTACCCTTTTCCAATGACGTAACTTTTTCCCAAATATGAGTGTTGGCATTTTTATCGAAAACACGTATAGGTCGTGAGACTTCAGTGAAGAATTTCGGCTTGTTCGCATTTACTATAACGACGTCAAAGTACTCCCGCCAGTCATGGCCAACCAACATTTCCATGCCAGCGTTACTAAAAGATTTGAAAAATATATTAGTCCTGTGTATGGCTACAAACACTAATCACAATCAACTATTCTACTTAAATACATGCAATAATTTAAAATTATTCAATCGTACATAACTAGCACACATTTTTTTTCTATAAGTACTAAGGATTTTTACCAAACTAAAAATAACCAGGAAGGTAAATACTCCATGCAACATAGTTAATAAAAAGAGGGGTTAAATCATAACCGCCCAAAATATTATTCTTACACAAAGTGATAAGGACTGTTTGTTACAAGAAACAACTTTTTATCATTTTCCTGTAACAGTTTGAAATATTTTTTTAAATCTGTATTTGGCCGAATATACTCTTCCAGATTCTGCGCGACAATCTTATGCATTATGGGATGACAGCTTTGCACGGAATTCTGAAATTAATATTTACACAAGTCTTATCAAACTGAGCAATTCACTAGATAAAATGTTTAACTAAGACGGTTTTTTCATACAATGTGTAAGCAAATTAAAACACGACCTCAGACACAAAATAAAATGTTTATTTAATGTAAGTGTAATAACTACAAAGCCAAATATTTAATTAACTATTAAGCGTTTTAGGAAATTTACATATTATGTGTAAGGCAAGGCAATAGATCATAAATGATGAAGAATAAATGGAAATTGGATATATGATATTGTGCTTTACCGAAATACTAAATTTTGTAAACATTTTACATAATTTTCCTTTTATTTTTCCTTCAATTTACGAAGTATAAGTCCCATTTCAACTATACTCATGGATAAAATTAGAGGAACGCAAGAAAAAAAGTGTGTATAAAACAAAATGTCACGGATATTTGTGACAATTAGGTTTATTAATTTGGAGTTTGCTTATTTCGTAATTTAAATTTGCAAACGTCGAAAAAACAAGCGATCAAATGACAAAAATTAACCGAATTAAGAAAAAAAATTAGCAGGAATGAAATATTTTACACTTAACATTTCATTCACTTTTTTATAAATTCTGAGAAAGTGGGCTAAGTTTAACGCGGGCTATAATCAGTACTTAGTGTTGCCCTCTCTAGCTCTTCGAACTGCTTCCAGTCTCCTTGGCATACTCCTAATCAAGTTATCAATAAAATCTTGAGAGATTGCGTTCTATTCTTCCTATAATGCGTTTTTCAGATCTCTCAAATTAGCGGGGACAGGATTTCTTTTCTTAATTTGTCCAAACTTATCGCATACATGCTCTATGGGGATTAAGTCGGGCGAGCGCTGGCCACCCCATAGCATTAAATTCAACGTCTCGAAAACATTCTACAACTACGCCAAATAAAATGGGCAAATGGCACTACATTTTTTTCGAAAATCTCAGTTACATACATAACGTGCCGCTGTTAGTGACCCATTCTCAACGATTTCGTACGTGCCCGCATACAAATACCTCCCCATACCATAACTGACCCTCCATAATATGCCTCTTTTCCAATGATGTTGCACTGAGCGTACCTCTCTCCCAGGCGTCTCCACACTTTGATCGTTCCATTATCTGGCTTCAGGCAAAATCTGGACTCATCTGTGAATAGAACATGACTGCAAGCTTCTTCATTCCAATTTTTTGCAAGAAGGCAGGCAAGTGTGAATTTATTCCAGCCGATTTCAGTATTATCCTCACAGTTTTTGTGCTAACTGTAACCCCTCGAACCTCTTGGAGCTTCGTTCATACCTCACAAGAAGTTAAAGTACGGTTTCTAAGCACGCTCGTAACGATCAACCAGTCTACTCTAGCCACAGTTTTCCGTTTACGTCCCTATACTGCGAATCTCGCATACTGTCCGGTATGGCGATACCTCTTGACAACTCGGTGTAGCACAGATTTTGAAACTCGAATGCTTAGACCACATGTTTGTAAGTGTAAGTGTGCTGTTTCTAAAGTAACAGCCCTAGCAACTTGATTCGCGATTGGATCTGGCATTCACAGTTTATTTGCAGTAACAATTCACACTTAACACGATACACAAGGCGGTCAAGACAAAAATATAAACTAAATCTAAATTTAAACTCAAATTCAAAAGTCGGCAAAATGTTTTGTAGTAAAACTTTTTTTAAAGCATTTATTAATGTTTGTAAAAATTATAACAAGAGAAATCAAACCTTTTTTTGCGTTCCTCTAAATTTGTTCATGAGTGTATATTCTCAGATAAACTTGTATTTATTTGCAATATATTTTTTATTTATTATTACCAATGCTTGAATACAATCCCACCTGGTGGCAAGTGGTAATAAATGCCTAGATGGTAAATCGCACTATCTTAGCATAACAAAAGCCTAAATACGCCCAGGTGGTAATCGAATGGTGAGGCAGACGCCGGTATATTATTCTACTCCTTTGCTGTACGCATTACAAAAAACGAAGAAAACCGTTCGGTTTATTAAATGCGTAGAATATCGACATCAAAGGAATGAAGACCCGCCGATCGCCTGGTTATCATCAATCATGAGAAAAAAGATATTTAAAAAAACTAGCGTGTGGTATATTTGAATCAGGTCTATCAGGTCGTTAATTAATTTCTAAACACGCTGTAGCATTTATTAACAGGATTCAGACAATCGTTAAAGAAAAATACCTTCACATCCAAGAAGAGGATTTCTGGGTGATAGTCAATGTGATTCCTGATGAAATGTTCTGCCACATTACAAAGTAGTCCCATTTCAGGTACAGAGAAAAGGTCCGCCAAATGTACCATTTTCGAACGATTTTCCTGAAATCAAGGAAATTTCTGTGCAATTTTTAATATTTCTTTACAATTAATAGATACGTCATACTATACATAGAAATATTAATTTTAAATAGCTTTGGAAATTGCTTCCACCTAAAAAAACTTTTACGTAAACTGGAAATGACAAATTACATAGATGACATATTACACAGCATCTTGTTAACCAGTCATTATGCTTATCATTGCCTTAAGACGGGGGGTATAAACATCAGATAAGAAAAGATATTTTTTGCGGCACTATTTTAATAATTTGTATAATACCGAAAAGCAGTTGCTGTAGCTGGACTGTCCTACACAATCTGAGCTGTTAAGCGCCCTAGTCATTAGTTCTGGAACGCAGACATTATAAATATTTATAAATTTCTTTCAATATATAAAAATTATTTTTTGTTTGTTCGTATTTTCTGCGCTACCATAGTGTTCATCAGATTGCAGTAAAACTTTGTCAACTTATTGCTTGCACTTGCGCGAAGATTATAGGTATAGTACAATTAACTTACACTAGGTGGCATATCATGGATCGCACTTATGGCACGAGGATCATTCAATTTGAATGATTGTTTTATCATTTCTAATTAAACTATATAACTCTTTCAAATTTAAAATGATATTTCCACAATTATTTCTTTTGCGACAGCCAGCGCGCCGCGCCGGGTACCAGCTAGTTACACTATAAAAATTCTAAAAATCATAAACCATTTCCCTTAACAATACTATTTTAACAAAAAATATTTTGAGCATAATATTTCCTTCGTTTTATTTTTAATGCAAAATCGTTTAAGTAAAGCTTTTGCCCTTTTTTACAGTTAAGTTTTGCATCTTATATTTAACAAACATATACATTAATATAGAGCTGTATATTGTATCATATAGTACATGTAACACACAATGAACGGAGGAGATGAATGATTGCTTACAAGTGCCTTTGATTACTAAACGCAATGACATTACTGCATGTATAAATAACAGAATGGGTGAGCCTTTGCTGTAAATATTGTCTGGTAACAACTGCTACAAAATTTATTTTCAATATATTGAATTACAAAGCTTTTATTCGAATTCATTCAAACAGAAAAAAGAATATAACTAGGTTTTTTTTTTACTTATATATTATAGTTAAAAATATCTTACCTGATTTTATTAGCCTTTTATTTAGCCTATTTCAAGAATACGTTAAATGATGCATATCTTGAAATATTTGTCTACATTTGTCTATACATACATCTGGGGTGGGTTATGGGTTGATGGCCAATACTTCTACTTTCAGACTGATTAAGCTGCTGCCCTTTACCACTATGAGGGATTGCTTAGTATTTTCGAATGACAGACATCCATTTATCGATTGTAAATGGCCGATATTTGAGATAATTTCGAGATTTTTTTTCATAGAATGAGGGAAAGAAATGAGCACACAGTCATCATCACAAATTTATCCACATCTTTTGTTGGTGGTTTTAGTGAGGGCAAAAATGGAAAAAAAAATAACTATACATTGTAGTTATGCAAATATGCTTGAATAATTTCACTACAAAAAAGGAAATGAATATTTATGGGGTTATATCAAGAGTGAATGCTCACTGTATTCCACAATAGCACGTTGGTGAGACGAATTTAAGCGTGGGCATATATCCAATAAATATTACCTTCACTCAGGATGTCCTACAATAGCAGTGACCGAGAAAATTATTTAAAAAGGCGTAAAAATTGTTTTAGCATATCGACGTGTCACAATATGTTTTAAAAAACAATGATTTTAACTGACAGTGTTTAGGACATTTTACACAAACACTAGGGGATACAAAAAGTATCTGGATGTTGTGTGTGTATACCCAGAACGCTTACTAATGCGCTTTTTGGAAATGTTGCAACAAGATGCGAATTATTTTTTTGGCTTGGTTTATAACAATGGATGAAAGATAGCTTTAACATTTCTATCTGGAAATAAAATCCCACTTGGAAAAGATTCTTATCTTCTCCAACTCCTAAGAAATTCAAGGTGGTAATCCTTCCATCGGTAATTTATATTAAAGATACTACATACTAATCTCAAACTATCCCAGAGAAGGGGTCTCTGGGATAGTTAGAGATTATTGTAGTTACTATTACAAGCACTTTGTCATCATCATCATCATAACAGCCCTTCACAAGACCACTGTTGAACATAGGCCTCCCCTAAGGTATGCCACAAAGCACGGTCCTGAGCCACCTGCATCCATCGACTTCCAGCATATCTTACCAGGTCACCTACCGGTACGAGGTTGCCACTAGAGAACCTTTTTCCCCCACCGGTTATCGGTTCTTCGAGCTATATGGCCGGCCCATTGCCACTTCAGCTTACCAATCCGTTGAGATATGTCGGTCACTCTGGTTCTACTGCGGAAATCCTCATTTCTAAGTTTAACACGCAGACAAAACCCCGAGCATAGCCATCTCCATAGCTCACTGAGCGACCTTGAGCGTCCTCATACGGCCAGCAGTGAAGGACCACTCTCAGATCCATAAGTCATCACTGGCAACACGCACTTGAGGTATAGGTACCTGAAGAGAAGGTGTGTCGTAATTTCCCGAACGCTGCCCAGCTGAGTTGAATCCTTCGATTGACCTCTTGGTCGAAGTTGGACTTACCTAGTCGGACTATTTGTCCCAGGTAAACATAATCGTCAACAACTTCGAGCTTAGTACTCCCAACAACTACCGGCATAGGTGTGACATGGACATTAAACATGATCTTTCTTTTGTCCATGTTCATCTTAAGACCTATCCGTTGGAAGACACTATTGAGGTCATTGAGCATAGTGCTTAGGTCCTCCAGCGATTCTGCGATAAGGACTATATCGTCGGCAAATCGAAGGTGAGTGAGGTACTCGTCATTGATGTTGATACAGTATCCTTTCCAGTCCAGTAGGTTGAAAACGTGCAGCGGTGAAGAGTTTCGAGGATATAACGTCACCCCGTTTTACGCCTCTCTACAATTGGATAGGTTTCGTACTCTGATTCTGTACTCCGATAGCCATCGTAGCCCTACTATACAAACACTTCAACACTTCGATATACTGACAGTCAACTTGGCACCGCTGAAGGGCTTTCTCATAGTCCACATACGCAAGGCAAAGTGGAAGATTGTACTCTTCGGTCTTTTGTACAATTTTCCGAAGGGTATGTATGTGGTCTATGGTACTAAAGACTTTTCGGATACCAGCTTGTTCACAAACAAACAGCCGTGTAGTGGCGGTAAAGAATATCCACTACCCCATATCTTTCCGTGTGTGTCGTAAGAGGCAACTTTTTTTTTATAGGAGAGGGGGCAAACGAGCATGCGGCTCACCTGATGGTAAGTGACTACCGCCGCCCATGAACAACCGCAACACCAGAGGAATTGCAGATGCGTTGCCGGCCTTTTAAAAAGGAGTAGGTTCTTTTCTTGAAGGTCCCTAAGTCGTATCGGTCCGGAAAAATCGCTGGTGGTAAATTATTCCACAAGGAAGTTGTGCGAGGAAGAAAACATCTTCTAAATCGCACAGTGGTGGACCGCCAATCATTCAGATGCTGCGGATGGTATTGGGAGTTCACCGCGATGTGCGTTCGTGAAAGTTGGCGGCTGGGATTAATCCGAATAATCTCTCAGAGCACTCCCCGTGGTAAATACGAAAGAAAATGCAAAGAGATGCAACATCTCTTCGCAGCGCCAATGAGTGGAGCCGAAAGGACTCGGTCGTCGACGATTCGAGCCTCTCTGCGCTGGATGCGGTCAAGTGGAAGAAGCTGGCACTGGGGAGCCCCTGCCCAGAGATGGGAACAGTTTTCCATGTGAGGCCGAACTTGCGCCTTGTAAAGTTGCAGGCGGTGTGTTGGCATGAAATACTGTCCCGCTCTGCTGAGCACGCCAAGCTTTTTAGAGGCCAATTTGGCCTTCTCTTCCAAGTGACCACGAAACTGCACGTCACTCGATATGTCGACGCCGAGGATTCCGATACTGGCCTGAGGCAACTAAGGGAGTGCCTTGAAAAGTGAGGAAATACGAGAAAGGGGTTCTTTTTAGCGGTAAACGCGCAAACTTGTGTCTTCTGAGGATTAAACTGGACTAGATTGAGTCGCCCCCAATCCGAGACTTTGACCAGCAAAGACTCGACTTCAGACACAAGTTTGTTCCGGTACTCGGCGACGTTTTCCCGAGAAATATTGGCACGGCCGGTGTATAGAGCATCACCAGTGCTGTCATCCGCATAGCAATGAATGCTACCGGTTTGCAACATATCATTGATATGCAGAAGAAACAGCGTTGGTGATAGCAAGCAGCCTTGTGTAACACCAGCGTTAATAGACTTATAGTTGGAGCATGCACCGTCTACAACGACCTTGATGCTCCGATCTGCAAGAAAGCTGGTGATCCAATTGCACAATTTCTTGGGAAGCCCATAGGAAGGGAGCTTCGAAAGAAGCGCTTTGTGCCAAACCCGATGAAAGGCCTTCGCAATGTCTAAACTAACGGCGAATGCCTCCCCCTTGGACTCTACTGCCTCCACCCATCTATGAGTAATGTAGACCAGAAGATCACCAGCTGATCAACCCCGACGAAAACCGTATTGACCGTCACTAATCAGCTGGTGATCCTTAAGGTACCGCATGAGGTGGCAGTTTATAACGGATTCCATTATTTTGGGGAACAAGGGGGTGATGGCGATTGGCCTATAGTTGGACGGGTCTGAGCGGTCGCCTCAGGGGGGGAATTGTGCCTCCGGTCACCTGCACTCACCAGACGAAACGCGGAAGCAGGGCTTCCACTTCACGCCGGTATTCTGTGAGGTCGTGGTACTAACCCGGCTCGAGCCGGCCCATATGTGCAACAGCAAAAGCTGCTGCATGGCTCTACCACAATCAAAATCTGATAACAGCAAGATTAAAATAAAAAAACTGCGGTTCCCAACCCGCTCGCCAAGCGTGGCAACTATGTTAAATATCCCCCCATGAAATGAAAGTTACGA